CTTTTATGGATGACCAGAAATTACCTAAATTTATGAAATCTAAGTGAATGCATTTTTTTTGTTTTTTTTAGTTTTTACCTGCCTCGTAATTTTTTTTACAAGTTTACATATATCTTCAGTAATTATTTAATATTTTATTGACTTTTAGTTAGGTTTCAAGAAGCTTTATGATATTTGCATTTTACCTTTAGGTTCTTAAGTTTACTACCTTAAACTAAAAACTAATTGAAGTATGACCCAATCTAAAAAAAATACATAAAATATTTAGGGAAATAGCAATTAAGAAAAGGAAACATTTTTCTTGATATTTTGAAGGGATGATTTACAAAGATGTTAAAATTGCAGTGTGTCAGACAACACTTAAATCACATGACCTTAAGGATTATATCATGTATAGATTCCTATAAATAGAAATTAGGAACATTTTTTTTATAAAATTTATTTTTAAAATTTTTAAAATATCTGGGTACAAATGACTGATGAGCTTTTCAAATATTGATTTGTTAATGTACTTTACACATAACGATACCACCAAACTGGTGTCTTGAAAGCAATGAAAAATTTTAAATGATTTTTTAACTATTATTGTAATTAAAATTTAAAAAGAAATGAAAACATTCTTGTAAAAATTTATTATTCATCAAAAAAAATTTTATTTCTTCAGACAATAGTTTCCTTAATATAACAATTACAAAAGCAATTAAAAGATTTTCTAATTAAATAATGTCATAGTTTTATTGCATTTTTTATTTTACAATTCAGAGCAGATATTCGATGAAATGGGTAACTGTTTAACAAAAAAAAAAAATTGATGGTTTACTTTCTCCAAGGAGTCCTGTCTTTAACTAAAAAAAAAAAAAAAAAAAACGTCTCACCCCACTAAAAATTTAACTTCACGAAATTTCAAGAAATTAAGTGGATGGTAGCATATGTATTAAAAAAAAAAAAAAAAAAAAAAAAAAAAAAAGTATTTTTAACCAAAATTTATCTGCTACAAAGGAGTAAAAAAGATTTTCAAAAAATAAAAAATACTTTGGTCTTTCCTCTTAATAAAAACGAACATTTTGATGAAAAAACTTATTGAGTTTGGGGACTTTTATCATCATGCTATGCCATTTTTTATGCAACCAAGTGGCAGTACCTATTTTTATTGCTGGTAAAATTTTTTTTTCTTCAAAAATTTATTGCTGGTAATAATTTTTTTACAAAGTATTTCTGGTATTAAAACCTATTTTTACACTTTCATAGTATTTTGACTCCAGTTTGGTGGGGCTAACTATTTGCCCATAGCTGGGACCCTAACAGTTGCTACCACCCTGGATTAGGGCAGACCTGGGAACACCAGCAATTAAGAGGTGGTTCCACACTACTCAAATCATCCTTATCAGAGCCCTTGCTGTTGGATGTAGTTTATCATCTTACCCAGGACAGTATATTTATGGGTAAAAGTGCTCAATACCAGTGATAGAGTATATGTAGATGTAAAATTGAACACAGAGGTCACTACCAAGCTGCAAGTGTTTCCTGTTTGAACATAATCTTTAGGCTATCTAAAATCCTAGAAAATTTTCCTGCACCAGATGGCCTTAAGATCACATTCAAGCATGAAACAGATTGTCACTATTTGGTATTGACTTCAGTGTTTAATTTTATATATGTGTGTGTGCGTTGTCGACACTGAAATAATAACAAGCGTATATAAGCATGAAGGTATTGCAATATTGTTCTTCCTTGTGATCAGAATAAGAAATTACTTTTTCAGCTGGAAATTAAATGGACTATAAGCAAGGCCCAAAGCTTCTTGGTTTAAAAAATAAAAATTTTTGCCTGCACCTAATATAAAATTAGCATTTTGCTACCGTTATATTTGAATTTAAAATGGCGTTTTTTTGTTTTTTTTTAAATGTATGAAATTTATTAAGAAAAAAAAAAAAAAGCATGCCAAAATATGCAGAAAATTCTCTTCTATGTTGCATAACATCTATTGACTTGTCTCATGGCCACATCATTTCATTTTAGAAACAATTTGTGAAAACTACTGAAAAATAGTAGTACTATCCTCATTGTATTTACATAACTCTAATCTGTCACTTGGGACTATTTCCAAAAAGCTACAAATTCCCTGAGCATCTGTGCAATTCATAGACAACATTGTACTCTAAATTCTTTGTCAATGTCAGAAAAAAAAAAAAAGAACATCAGAACAAAAACCAAAGGATAAACAAACAACAACAAATCCACAAGCATAAATATACCCATGCCTACAGTCTAAAGATGAATGTATAGAAATGGCCAGAATGGTTGGTTAACAAAGAAGTTACTGTTGTATGTCTGGCAATGAGGGCTTGCTTAAAGTTTTACAAAAAGCAAAGCTTTTGGCAAAGTTTCCTATGGCCAGAGAAAAGTAAATTTAGATTGTTTGGGTGCAATGTCAAAAAAAATAAGTATTCTGAAGACAGTGAATATCATTCTCACAATAACAAAACCCTTTCTCAACTCCCATAGGTCTGAGAGCCACGACTTGAACATTTTATCCTGCCAGTTAATCTTTCACACTCACGTGTTTAATTCTTGTTTTCATCCAAGGAAGTTTTAAGTGAAAACAGCCTCAGGAACAAAGAAATGAATTACAAGAAAAGTAAAAAAGGAGGTGACTTTCAGAATTGACAACTGACTCTTGCTTGTAGAATTTATTTGTCAAAGGTTACAATTATCAACTTAACTCTTTCCAATTCTGTAGTGCTGTGGTTTATCTACCTATGGCACATTTGTGAATTAGGTGTCAGTCTTATTAACAACATATCACAAAAACAATAACAGCAATGTCCTGGACTGATGAATCATAGGGAACTTTAGTCTGAGGCCTGTAAACAAAGTTGGTCTCCAACTCTTTCCCTCAAACATTTTTACGATGGACAAAATCTCTTAGTTGACCAAATAAACTCAGGATGATATCATGCAAGAAAATTACACACTCAAAATAAATGAGGTTGGTTCTTTGACACATTAACTGCTACATAATGGTCAATACCCAAAAATAGGGTTCTTAGGTTTCAAATGTCAAGTTTTAAATTGCCATAACTATGAAAACAAGGCTTACATAAAGTATACAAAACAGAGGGGGCAAGATATTTATTTACCAGAAACATTTTATATACACACCTACCCTATTGGTCACCTACTTTTAATGCTGCTAATCAGTTAAGAGAATGTATTTTAACATTCCAATTTTCAGTATCTTATAAAGACTGACTAGTTTCAGTATAAAAGGAATATATAAATGTATGTAAATGGTAAGCTCTTAATATTTGTGTGAATATATTAGCAAAGAAAAAAAGCAGAAATTACGAGTTTGGGACTGAATTTCAAAAACAAACTAAAAATTCTTTATCAACAGAATTCAGAGTTGTCCTTCTCCTAGACTTGTTAGCTTACCAAAACAAGAAAAACCTCTCTGGCATGGTACTTTACACATCACCGCGCAGAGAAGAGATAAATTCATAAGTAGTTCATAATTCTTGTTCACTTTATTTAAAACAGAACATGCCACACTTGGAAAGTAGCAGCAGGCATGATTAAGAGGAGAAATAACACTGATTTGCAGTGTGCCTTCAAGTTGAAACAGTTCTGGTAGAGATGAAGCAGATTGTCCAACCAAAAGGAAATGAAGTCAGAACAAAGAACAACACTGGAAAATAAAGCATTTGAAAGAACCAGCACATATACGAGGCCCCAATAACCTCTCTTTTGTTATGAATTGTTTTTTTTTTTAATAATATAAATTGCCTTTTAATATGACTGCTTTTATGACTAATTGTGTGCCCCTGCAAAAGAACATATTTTTAATAGTCATTTTGTTTTTGGTCATTATAATCTGATCAAACAAACAAAATAATGAAGTCAGAGAAGAATAGAAGTACATGTGGATCTAATAAAAACTAACTGCTGACATTATGTAATTAATAGCAAGAATAAACTAATTTTAAAGCTGGGATTAAATGTCTCATTTCAAAGAGATTAGGATAATCATAATTGGTTTGGGCTTAAGCCAGAAACAATTATCTTCTTTGAGAAAATTTTTTATACACCATGCAGATAACAAGCAGCTATTTTTCCAGCTCCAGTACTGCTCGCAGACTCATATACAACATTGATCATTGGGTAAAAATTGCATTGCATTCCAGAATCTACAGAGACAAGGTAACAGACTTGAATTTTAGACCAATAATCTGGTACAGTGATTCAGTTTGTCAATTAAACTTAGAGCGTTTTTTTTTTTTATTTTAAATAATTTTATAAGAGAATGCTTTGTTTCTTATGCTGATACACAAAAGGAATTATTAAAAAAAATATTCTTATAAAAAGGAATTGATCAGAGAAACATTTTCTGGCTTTTTTTTGACATTTTTTTTCCACCAAAAAGTTAGTAACTAGTTAGTTCCTCTCACTCCCTATATGGACATTAGGCTCATTTTAATACCATATCCAAGGACATAATAGAAGCTTCAATAGAAATTTGGATTCACAAGCAGTTCCTAGCCACATGTATGCACACTTTTAGGTTAGTGTGATCTGGTTTGAATTCAAAGTTGTTGTTCTAGACTAGTTGCCACCCAAGTCTATAGGACCCAGTCTGTCCTATTTTAGCCATAGTTTGGGGTGGGGAGAATAGATGGATTCATAGCTTTCCCAAGGGTATTAGTATATAAAAGAATGTAATGAATGCGACAAATTTGAATTCGTCTCTCAGATTCCGCAATCCAAGCCACTAACCATTACTCCTCCATGTCTCCTCAATAAAGAGCATTAAAAATAACCAATGTCAATTGTTTCAAGTAAAATCATTAGCAGTAAGAAATCTTCAGGGTTTTTTTGGGTTTTTTTTTTACATATATTCTGGCAATTTTGAAAGACAATCTTAAAAAAAAAAAAAAAATATTGTGCCAATTTTTAACTCAATTAGAAAACAACATTGGACATTTAAACCAAGTAAAGCTTACCTGTAAAACACTCTGGTTTTTATCATTGACAGACATATTTGAGATTGCATTGGCAACAGAAGAGATGAGATTAGTCGAAACATTGTAGCCGACTTTCATTGACGTGACGTAGGATTTCAATAAGATGGCAAGCTTTTTGGGACAACCCAACTCCCGCAATGAGTTCTGAAAGAAAATAAAAATTTTCATTAATTTTGGAATATTAAAGTATATAGAAAATCAGTTTTGCAGTTCCATTAACACACATTAATAAACATGATAAACATTTTTTGTAGGTCTTTGTAGATGGCAAAAGCAAATCTATTCCTAAACAAATGTCTTTTCATAGTTTTACAACTTTTTCTGCATGAAACATTCTAAGTGCAATGTAAACAAAATGATCTTTGTTGGAATTTTTTAAATGAGGGATTATCCTTAATATTCAAACTTATTATTCAAACTTGCATCCTCATATTTTTAGTTTAATGTTTTTTTTTTTTAACAAATTTACTATAGAACAGAAGCGAAATGATTTAAAATAGTATAATCATTCCAATAACTAATTTCCTTTCAATTCTTTTGTTTTTTTAAAATAAATTCACCATCAAGTAAAGCAATAATGCCCGCAAGGGACTAAAAGGGAGTAAAAGAGAATGAGAAGATTTTAGAAGGAACTGGAAACCTAATTCTAAACAGAAAAGAAGTGATAAACCTCTACTCCTGTTCAAAAGATGGGGGAGGTGTGTGAACTGGACGATATTGAAGCTAAAATTTAGTTTATACCTATCAATATAAGAAAATTATTCTTTACCTATATCTTTACTGTGGCACTAAAAACAATCAAAATTTGTTTATAAATTTATGAGAGATTAGAAGACATTTAAGGCTATGCTTGAATGATTGATTTTTATGGCTTATCAACCTTTTGCAGATTATTTAAAGCCAGAAAATAATTTTAGATTGTAAGAATTTTTTTTAGACATAATGATTTACAAGTCCTACTAATTAAACCATAGCTAATGGGGAAGAGGTGGACTCATACTTTTCCCAAGGGCATTTGCATGTAAGTTAATATGATGTACCCAATTAGAATTAGAACTCCACTCCACAATTTCCAGTTCTGAGCCATTATCCCTTACATCATCCATGCATCATAGGCTACTGTATCTGATATTCCCAAGCAATCACCCATCTAGGTACTGAACAGGCTTGTCAATGCTTAACTGGTGATTATGCAAGAACCGGTGTTTCAATGTGATACGGATATAAGCCTTTTAGGCTATGCTATTAAAATAAAATATATCTTTAAAAAAAAAAAAAAAAAAAAAAAACACCTTTCAAAGTCCAGAAAAAAGGTTTTGTAAAATCATAAGAAAAATGAACAGGGAAATACTCGCCACATATACTAAAGTATAGTGCAAGTTTTTATGATTATTTTTTTTTTTTTTTTATGTAGAATATAGGGGGTGGGGTCACACTATATGTTGGTAACAGAAGAGATTAAAAAAAAAAAAAAAAAAAAAAATCATAGTTTTAGTGACAAATTGCACTATACAAAAGGTAATTTTATTCTGTAAGTGTTAAAATTCATGCTTTTTTCAGTGACTACAACCTACCTGGTAGGCCTACATTCTCACAGCAACTTAATCTTAACAGTACAGGTAAGGTGCTTTTTTGTCTGCCTCCTGTAGCCTAGATTCTTTCTTTCTGTTGCGACATCAACAGAAGAATGTCATTCACTAGGTGTGTCACTTAAAATCTACAAACACCTTATATAAATGAAGAATTAAAATGTTTTCTTTTCCTTTCTCCAATTTGTGTTCATCTTCATTCGCAGGTGTTTACATCGCTGAGGTATTGCTTTTCCAATGGCACCCCTTTTGTCTAATACGTATCTATATTATATATGTTTGTTGTGTTCCTTATTCCGTCTTACTCTCTTTATTTCTATTTATCATATTTTTTACATTTACTGGTATTATTTTATCTCACAATTCTCTGTTACATATTCTTAAAATATTTCGATAAGTTGCACCGGTAAAAAACAAATTAATTTTAATTCTAGTAACTTTATTTACAGTATAGTTATATTATCAATAGGAATCAATGAAATTGAGGAGCATTATAAAAGCATATCTCAATATTCATATATAAGTTATACACAAAGTTACGGTAGATGTTACAAGAAGAAATTATTTACAATACAAAGAAAACTTCTTTAACTGAACATTTATTAAGTAAAAAGCATGGAAGTTTTGTTTATCATTGTATTCATTACACCACAGCACACATTTAAACAACTTCAGTTTCTAGCAAAATAAAGCAAACAAAAAAAAACAACAACAGGTGTATAGAATACATTTTACTTAAAAGGACTTAAATTATAATAATCCAAAGTATGTACAACTCATGGGACGCCCTACATTATATACCAGTAAACCTTCAAAAAAGGTTGTCATTGGAAGGGCAATACCTCAGTGATGTAAACACTTGCAAAACAAAGATGAATACAAATTTGAGATAGGAAAAAATTTATTAATTCTTAATTAATATAATTAATATATCTCCAGCTATTCAAGTGTAATGTCAATCGATATATCCAGTTGCCTTGATCTTTCCACTACCCTCCTCCTTTCTTCTATCACTCCTATCTGATCTTGCTCTAAATTTTCTGTAACCCCTTGTGTCCTAGTGGCTCCCCGCCTTGCTTGGGGTGAAATGCTTTAAAAAAAAAAGAAAAAGATATTTGTTGATTTTATGTGATATATATAGTGGGTAAGGTTTTTCTCTTCATATAGCAAAAAAAGGGAAGAAATTTAGGCTATATAGGAGGCAGGCCCAGGGTAAAGGAGCTACTGTTGTCAGGCATGGACAAAAACAAAAGTATCGTATCTAAATCTTCATAACAGATATTTTACAGTAAGTGGGATTGCTCAATTTTGTGGTAGCATTGTACAAAAGAATGAAGACCATTTATTTGCTATAAAATATGCCCAGGATGATGCCCAGTAATGTAATATTTGACTACAGTAGGCCTGCTAGTATTGCTCAGAAGCTGTGATTGAATTAGACACAAGCTATGGGGAAAAAAAATCAGGTTTTTCATGAAGAAATTTGGTGGGGGCACACTATACATGAAGTAGGCTTACACAGGGTACATATTTTTGTTAGCTAGGGGGTACTCTACTCCCATTCTCATTTGTTATTTAAAAAAAAAAATTTACAAAGCAGGTTAGCTCTGTGGGTGTTGAAGAAAAACAAATATGCCTGAGCAGGTTTCTGTAACAAGGATTAGCTAACTGCTCTAGCAGACAGTCATACTTGGATACAAGCAGCCAGACATAAATATAAAAAAAATTATGACAATATGAAAAGATTCTTTTTAATAACTTCATGAATATCTTCATGAGAAATCATTAACAAATATAATTGATATCACAAGCAGATTAAATGAGAGAATGTCCCAGATGACATTTTGTCAACTATAAAAACTAGTAAGAAAATTAAGGAGTTTGTTTTGCTTCAAGCAAATTTTATGATGAAATTAATTTAGTTAATTTTGGGGAGGAAAAAATTTCTCTTGGCCTTTCACTGACACAGGACACATTATTTCAGACTGGGTCAGATTAGTGCTTTTCTTTTCTAACCCACCCTCACTCATTATCCCCTGCTAACTCCTAGTGGATCAGAGGGTGCAAATACACAAAGTGTGTGCATTTGTATCTCGCACCTGTAGTTGATTTTTCAGCTCTTGTCAAAATATATTTCATGGAGCTTTTTTTCTTTTTTTTTTCCTCCTAATCAGTTAAACGCACCCTCTACTTGGAAGAATAGCACAATAATTGCAGGCAGTGCATTCACATATTTGTAAAATCTGAAATACTAACAAAATATAAAGATCTGACTCACCACAAAAAAATTTACTGTGACCATAGCATGTTGCATTTAGAGAAAAGTCGCTTTCAACAAGCAAATATATGAAATTTTGCTTTATTTTTATATACATTTTGATTTTGCAACTTGCTAGTCAATGACCAAATAGGTATTTATAATTTATAATTAGAGAAGTGAATGTTAGTCACAAATGCTTATAAAACCCTTGAAAACAGAAGAGAGAAGTATGTATGTGTTATATAATATAAATAATAAAAATTACTAGGTGACCTTAGCATCAATAAGCAGATCAGTTAAACTATGAAAATTCTATTTCTGGAAATTACTATTTTTCCTGTAATTTTTTTTAAATGACTGAAGAGAGAAAAATAAAAAAAAAGTCAGCTGTATTTTTTTAATTTTCATTTTAATTATCAATTATAGTAATTCCATTAATTTTAAAGTTTGTTCTTGGATCAAAAACTTTTTTTTTTTTTTTTTTTATATATATATATATATATATATATATATATATATATATATATATATATATATATAATTTTACAATTCATTCTTTTTTATTTTTAGCATTTTTTGTCAGTACCAAAATATTTTATTGAAGTAGCACAAAAATGAATATTTTTTTATCATTTCACCCTAAGCAAGGCAACAAAACCACTAAGATGCAAGTATTATTGAGAGTGAAAGAAACTGAGTAAACATTACTGATGAGAAAATACAATGAAGGAAAAGAATTCAAAAAATCATGATTGACATTGTATTTAAGTTTTTCACAGTTGATAGAAAAGCAAGCCAGAAGAGAGTACCACAGGCAAGAAATGAGAGAAGGAACTATTAGAATAGAACTTAAATTAGCATCTAGGAAATTCAAAAATAAAACGGTAAGACCTAACTGCCAATCTAGTACTATACTTAAATTAATGAAGTTTAGGTACCAAATATTTACAAATCCTTAAATATAGTGTATATTAATTATTATACAAGACTAAATATTTATAAAAATAAATAAAATAATGGTTAAGTTTAAAAAAAAAAGTCATCTTGAGACAGAGTGTGGCTAAGGCAAACCAATCCCAATAGCATTTTAAACAAGGTTAAGAAAATTGACCATCAACTGATTTTCCAAACAGAACCAATGACAAGGTCAAGGTTAAGAAATTAGGAGATTATTTTTGCTTTTAATCTGGCAGTAAAGTAATTGTTTTGAAGTAATGGATAGCAGTAGAAGGGGGTTGGGATATGAAACAGAATTAATGACAGGTGTCAAGCAAGATAAAAGGGGATAGAATGCT